GGAGCAACATTGTAACAGCCCGCAGATCGGTATATGGACTTGTGACTCATGGGCCAGACCCTCGGGTGGAGTAAATCGGCCCAGGCATCAGTGGAACTCCAGCTGATTGACATCATTTGTGGATTTGACCTATTGACTCCAGTGGACTGACTGGCGGGGAAGTGTGTTGTAGAATAGCCCTGTCCTGTTTGACCAGGAGAATGTAAAGACCAAAGGTTCCCCTTTAAGAGGCGGGCATCTCAAGTGCAATTCCCCCTCTTCTGACTGTCCCTATTGGCCTTTCCATCCTCTGAGTGTGTATTCGAGTGTGTCCCTGGCCTGAAGGAAAGGCACTGATAGCAAATCTCTTTGGAGTGCTGCAGGGGGAGTGAGCGAATTCAGGGTTGGGGAAGAGTGGGTGTTCTGAACAAGCGTTCATGTCTTTCAAACTAGCCTCAGAGAGGAGTGTTTCACACAGACATTTGAGATATGACTTCAAGGAAGATGCAAGTTACTCCTCAGTAAGGAAGCAGATTATGAGGAGATTCCCCACCTAGAGAAGAAAGAAACGTATAGCTGAAAATGCATCTTTCCATGATTAAATGTCAGGATGTACCTTGAATTAAAGACAAGGACCTTACCACATTTGCCAAGGGCTGGTCTACACTGGGAACTTACACCTGCATAGTAATTACACCTCTGAGAGATGTAGCGATGCCAACCCAACTCCCGGTGTAGACAGCGCTAGGTCGATGGAGGAATTCTTCCATCCACCTACGTGCTACCTTTCGGCGAGGTGCATTACCTCCCACCTCTCATCAGTGTAGGCACTGTCTATACTGAAGTGCTTACAACATGCAGCTGCAGTGGTTTAAGTGTAGACATAGCCTGACTAACAGTCAGGCTAAGGAGAGGATTTGGCGACTATCACATCCCATTGTGAGAACAAAAAGTGGGTTTTCAGGGTTTATTTACCCAATTGCACTGCCAGGGAGACCACATGCACCTAATCTCTCTAGGATGGTAATGAGGTTATATATAACATGGTGTGATCCTGTCCACAGAAGTGATGATTTAGGCAGATCACTGTCAGGGCATTATTTTAGAGTAATATGATCTACTAACAGTCTGATTTGCTGTATTGATGGGAGCTGAAGACTTCCGAAGGGTTCATTGGGTAGGTTCTAATTTCCTAATTAGCAGTAAGAAAAGGAGTACTTGTGGCACCTTAGAGACTAACCAATTTATTTGAGCATGAGCTCAAATATCTGATGAAGTGAGCTGTAGCTCACGAAAGCTCATGCTCAAATAAATTGGTTAGTCTCTAAGGTGCCACAAGTACTCCTTTTCTTTTTGCGAATACAGACTAACACAGCTGTTCCTCTGAAACCTGTCATTATGCAAGGCACTAATTAGCAGTGTATTCTGGAAGCAACATTCATTCGAACTGTCCTCATCTTTACGAGGGGGCACCCTGGCTAAGGCTGTGTCCCTGCTCTCAGGCCTTTCTAAGCATAAACAGCGGTGCAGAAAAACCCTGGGAACATTTTTAAAAGGAAATTGTAGTAAATCAGGATGTGCAATTTAAAGGGTGCTGCTCTATCAGAGAAGTGAGGTTTTTAAACCAGTCACATTCAAAACATTGAAACTGTCCGTGATCCCTTCCACATTCTTGGAGCACGAAGTGGTTTTGGTTTGCCTTTCGCAGGGCATGTCTACACTGCCCCGCAGTTCAGACTATGGAGATGTGAATAGCAGTGTGCACCAAAGTGCTGCTCTGTGTCTCCCCTGTGTGGACACTGTGGACGTGAACTAAAATTAACTTGTTCCGGGGCTAAGTTTCAAAGAGCCAGCAGGCATTGTTTTCAGAACAGTGGTTCTCCTTGTAGATTCTCCGGCACATCTTGTTTTGCAGGCAGCGTGGGAAGAAGCTATCCTGAAATGGAAGGCTGCACTCTGTAGAGTAGCACCTCTTCAGAAGAGGATTTTAGCAGTACGGCGTTTTCAATGAATGACTCACACGAATCACAGTAGCTACGCTGCAGCTAGCTTATGAATAGGACCCTACCAAATTCACGGCCATGAAAAACGCATCACAGACAGTGAAATCTAGTCTCCCCCTGTGCAATCTGGTCTTTTGAGTGCTTTTACCCTATACTATACAGATTTCACGGGGGAAACCAGTGTTTCTCAAATTGGGGGTCCTGACCCAAAAGGGAGTTGCAGGGGGGGTCGCCGTATTGCCACCCTCACTTCTACGCTGCCTTCAGAGCTGGGCGGCCGGAGAGCGGCGGCTGCGGCTCTGCAGGAAGCCATGCGGAAGGAAGGGTGGCAATACTGTACCATGCAAACCTTACTCGGAGGCTCTGCCTTCAGAGCTGGGCTCCCGGCCAGCAGCCGCCTCTCTCCAGCTGCCCAGTTCTGAAGGCAGGGCCGCAGCCAGAAACAGCACAGAAGTAAGGGCAGCCATACCGCAACCCCCCCCTACAATAACCTTGCAACCCCCCCACCCCGCACAACTGCTTTTTGGGTCAGGACCCTACAATTACAACACCATGACATTTCAGATTTAAATAGCTGAAATCATGAAATCAACCATTTTTAAAATCCTATAACCGTGAAATTGACCGAAATTGACCAAAATGGACCATGAATTTGGTAGGGCCCTACTTATGAATGACAGTGCTTCAGAAGGGGCATCTTGCTGTTGTCCGTGCGCTCCAGTTCATGTTCAGGAATTATTCTATAGCCCTCTTCTATGCCAAGAGTTGCTTGGTGCAGGATCCTGGGTCCGGGCATGAGTGATAGCATCCTAAAGGCTGTTTTCACTTGTGACAGCCAGCTGTGGCCCCCAAGGGACTGTACTGGGTTACAAATTGGTGCAACACAGGAGCACGCCACTCCTATGCTGGGTGCCGGCAGGGGAAGTTGGCACAGGAACCAGCTATGCCAGCATTGCATCCACTGAGAATTCCCAGATACTGGGGCATTCTTAGCTGGCCAGGTGGAGCCAGATCCCAGCCAGGGTGTACCCCTATTTTATTCCATTCCATAGAGATTCTTATACCGCCCTCACCCCTGTAGTGGCTGAGCACCTTAGGGGAAAGCTGCTGGAGCAGAGGAAGAGAACCAAGCCCTTTGGAGACACCCCATGTGTAGCCTTAGGGCTTGGCAAGCACCCTTCCATGTTCTCTGCGAGAGCACTTCCCACTCTTGCCGAGTGCAGTGTGGTTAACAGGCTGAGACTTGGATCTGCCATATGAGCGAGTGGGTTTCTAGTCCCAGCTTGGGGAGCCCAGGAGGCCTTGCCCAGCACTGCGGGTTGTGCAGGGAACAGGATCATCATCAGCAGCAGTAGGGTTTCCAAAAGCACGTGAGTTAGGTGCCTTAGTCTGCTTAGGTGCCATTGAAAGTCCCACTCTGCAGCTGTCTGCATTCTGAGGTGCCCGACTTCCTTTGGGAATACGGCCGTTGTCCCCAGCACAGTGCACTTCCCCATGGCCAGTGAGCACTGTGATGGGGAAAGCAGCTGCTGTGGAAGAGGAGGATCCGGGTTTGTGTCCTGGCTGACCGTTGCCCGCTGTGTGTGGAACACTGAACGGGGCAACGCATGGACTGAATACACAGGAAATGCCATCGTGAGCCAGTTAGATAGATCACACACCCAGCAAACCTGCCTGAAATACACAAAAGTGAGGAAACGGAAATTTAAGCCAACAGTACAGACTCTCTGCTGTAATTTGGATTATAAACATAATAGTACAAGCACGCATCTTACCATTCCCACAAATACCCTCCACCACAGACGCCCTGTCACCATGATTCTGCCTCCCGTTATCCATTCGTCATGCACACCCCGTTCCCAGATTTCGTTCCAGGGTTGTGGGTGGGTGGTGCAGTAGCTGATTCTGCTGGGAGATGGTAGCCTGGCAAAGGGGTGTTACAGAATGGCAGTGAAGAGGTCTGATCGAAAGCTGGTATCTCTACGGGCAGAGTTAAGGGTGCAGATTTTTTGTGTATTAACTTCCTAGGTTTTTTTAATGCTTGAATTGGAGAGGGGTTGGACAGGAGGGGGCTACACCTCTAGGGGAGTGGGAGAGAAGTGCCGCTGCTGGCGGAGAAGATTTTATCCCTCAGCAGCTGCAGGTGAAAACTTCTCCATTGTAGGATAAAGTCTGAAAGAAAAAGTCTCCAGCTCCTGATGGAGAAGGTTCTGCATGCACCTGGCTCCAGTCAGTCAATCAAGTTTCTGTGTGCCCAGCTGTGCTCAATCAAGGTTAGGTGCACAGTACATACATTTTCAGTTCTTGCATGAATCGTAGTTAAAAGTGACCATCAGTCCAAATTCTGGTTTGTAAATAGCTGTTGCACAAGATCTACTCAGGACCCACTTCTCGTCCACGTGCTGCGTGGCGAAACAATGTGTTTAAAGCAGTATCTGTGCTGCTATATAGAGGAACCAAACAAACTGTAGAGAAAATGAAAGGACCATAAAAATCTCATCCGGTCTGGCTTTTAACACCAATCGGCCACCTACTTTTAGGGGAAACCAGGAATTCATGACCCATTCCAAGCCCAATTTAAAACTCCGCCTTAACTATGGAGTCACCAGCCAGGAGTCTTCATAATGCTGAGGGATTTTCATGTGCTGCCAAAAACAAGCTAGACCGTGTGAACCTCAGACAGGCAATGGCGATTGTCAACCACTCATAACAGCCGTATCTGGACAGAATTTCCCGAGGCCAGCAAAAGGCACCTTCATGACCCAAGGAACAGTCCCCTGCCAAATTTCAAAGAGCTCCTGCAAACCATGTGAGTGTTAAAACTCTTCAGAAAAAGGTCAAAAGAACCTTTAATAGTGCATTTCTGTCCTTTCCCACCAGGCTATAGGAGGCATCTGTGTTTACACCTGAAGCGAGTTTTAATTAGGTTCTTCGTACAGATTGTCTGGATTATTTCAAAGCCTGCAGTAGATTTTGGATGCATATCTCAATTGCATGTTTGTCTTTGTTGATTTCTAGGTCCGGACTCTCTTTGTGAGCGGTCTTCCCCTCGACATCAAGCCGCGGGAGCTCTACTTGCTCTTCAGACCCTTCAAGGTACTGTTTGCCTGCCCTTCAGGGATCTGAAAACACATGTACTCCTCAGAGGAGCGTATTGCTGTATCTGACACACTTCTCCACTAACGTGGCCACGTCATTATATAGCTAGTGTCAAAAGCGGGTGCAAGAGATGTGAGTAACACCAACGAATGGCTGAGTATAGAGTGGCGAGAGGTGTCTCAAGGTGTGAGCCAGGGGTCAGGAATAGATTTGGTCTTAGTTAACGTATTCATTAGACAACTACCAATTGGCCAAAGGTGGGCTTGTGGGATGGGGCTCAGGAAGTCTGGGTTCAGTTCGAGGTCTTGCCATGGAGACTCTGTGTGCCATTGGACCAGTGGTTGGGGCCTGATGTTCTGTGGAGCTGCAAATCCCATTGACTTGAGTTGGGGATGCTCAGCACATCTGACAATCAGCCCTTCATTAATGTGTGCCTCATTTCCCCACCTTTAAAATGGGGGTATCGTTCCCTCCTTATGTCACAGGGATGTTGAGAGCCTAAACCCATGAATGTCGATGATGCGCTCAGATACGGAGCTCTTTGGAGCCACAGAAATGCCTATTATGGGGTAGTTAGTGGCAGTGATGCCTCGTTCAAACCAGACTCTACTTTACACTGAAAACAAGAGTTCATCCTCTGCTTTTCAGATGAAACAGAGCCTGGCCAAGAGTTTCAAAGGCCGGGCTCCTAAATCGATGTTCAGACATCTAACCAAGGAACTTGATTTTCAGATGTGCTGAGCGTCCAGCACCCACTATTGACATCACTGGACACCGCTTAGAACTTTAGAAAGTCTGGCTACCTTTAGATTTCTGGGGTTTTTAAATCTTGGCCTGAGATCGAAGTGGGCAACATGTATTTGAACTTGTAATGCATGTGGTGTAGCACGATTGAGTGGTGTTTGGAGCTCATTGTACTGTACTAACATAAAGGCAAGCTATGGGTGTAAGATTTCTCTACTATATTTGGTGCTAGGTAGCATGATACTAAATATGCCAGGAAGCAGGAATAATTCAGGCAGTAAATAAATGACTACAGGTCTAGAGAGACTGATTAAAATAAAAGATAAAAGCTAACTCTGTATAGTTTGTACTCATTCTTGTAAGGTGTAAACACCAGTGGGAGAGGAATTATTTAAGATGGTACAGGGAGGTCAAACTGAAAATAGTTAGATAATATTAAGGAGACAAGGTGGGTGAGTGTGATGGGGTGCAGTAGGCCCAGAGGCTCCCTGCTGAAAGCCTCAGGATCCTGCCACACCAATCCCAGGAAAGAAGAAGTAGAGGAGTCCTCCAAGCAGCCTAGAGTGGCTGCAGAGGGCAGCCAATCAGGGCCCAGGAGGGCAATATAAAAAGGAGCTGCCATGCAGCCCATACTCAGTTCCTTGCTGGAGCCAGAGGAAGGCAGATGGTGCTCCTGGCTGGCCAAAGGGAACTGCAGCACCACGGACAGCTCAGTGCTGGCACACAATGGTGCGTGACTGCTATACTTAGGGTCCCTGGGCTGGGACCCAGAGTAGAGGGCAGGCCTGGGTCTCCCCATAGGTCACTGGGGAAGTGGCTCACAATTAGACAATGATATACCTCCCAGAAGGGGATCTGAGCTACTCAGTGGCCCAGCTGGGATCCGAAGGTTCCAGAGAGGCAAAAAAACATTGCCTCCAGGGAGGAAGCCCTGGAGGTATGACCCGACCTAATTGCCAGAGCTGGGACTGTTTAAAGACTGCAAATACACCTGACCAGAAGGGGTGCTTGTGAGAGGTGGACGCCACGTTGTTACAGTTCATCTTTTATTGGATCAGCCTCTGTTGATGAAAGAGACAAGCTTTTGAGATAATATGGAGCACAGAAACATGTGGGCTACAAGTATCTAGGGCAGGAGTATCTAGTACCTGTGGCCCATCACCATGGCATCTGAGCACCTTCCCTGTAAAATCCATGATGATTTCTTTGTATTGTGGTAGCCCCTGTGGTCCCAGCCAAGGTGGTGGCTCCATTGTGCTGAGCTCTGGACAGAACAGAACAATCCCTGCCCCAAAAACCCCACAGTTTAAAAGACAAGACAGACAGAGAGCTATCAAGCAATTTGTCAAAGCCCCAGTATAATGTTGGATGTAACAACCAGAACTGGCCAGGAATTTTTTTTGTCAGAACGTTTTTTAGTCAGAGATGCCGATTTGTTGAAACTAAAACTTTTAGCAGGAACGTACCGAGTTTACAAAACTTTGCTCATGAAGTTTCTCAGGTCCAGGATGGAATTTCTGGCCAGAGTGTGAAAGAGCCCCCAGAACAGCCAGTAACCCAGTGGGCATTCATCTGAGATGTAAGAGATACAGGGTAAGTCCCCGCTCTGCCATTCTCCCTCGTGCCAGGTGAGTGGCTGTTGGCCATTTTGGGGCAGGTCTCTCAATCTCTCCTGCTGGAGGCATAATTAAATTGTCATTGGGCCAGAGAAAGCAAGACCGTGATTGGCTCCATAGGCTGATGATTAGGGTGCTCATGTGGTAGATGGAGAGTCAATTCCCTGTGTTTCTCACATTCCAGGTGAGCAGCCTGACCATCAGCCTGTAGAGTCAGTGTGTGTCTCTCTCTCTGCCCAATGAATATGAAATATCCATACCATGCTGTATAACAGCTCCAGTAGGAGAGGTCAAGAAGCCCACCCTTGAATAGCCCGGTGGTCAGGCTACTCAGCTAGTATATGGGCGGCCCAGATTCAAGTCCCTGCTTCCAATCGGGCAGAGCAGGGAATTGAACCAGGGTTTGCCACATTTCAGGGTAGCACCCTGACCACGGGCTATTGGCCACTCTGGGTTCAGGCTCTCTCTGTTTCATCCCCATGCAAAAGGGGGGAATGTTTTGAAATCTTGCCAAGTTTCATGCAATGAGAAATCTATTTCCACGCCAGGTCTATAACAACTCCTTTCCCCACCTACCCTCTGTCCAGCTGCCAGTCAACGTCCTTCACTACCCTTATTCACCCCAAGTCCCCTCTGTCTACCCACCCCGGCCCCATAGGGAAACACTCCATCTCACTCTAGTTGGAGGAGTTTAGAAACTAACCTGCCAAATTGTGAGAAGATCCCATCCGCTGCCCATCCTTGCCTTCTATGCGTGGTTTGTATAAGAAGGAGCAGCTACTGACTACATCTGAGCTGTACCCCAGGCCTGCACTGACCCCTGTGAAGGGGTATCAAACCCTGCACCAGCATGGGAGGGGTTAAGGAGCTGCTTTGGGCTGGAAAGTCCCAGCCCTCCACACCTGCCGCCAAGCCAGGGCTGGAGGAGGAGTTAAAAGGAGGGAACTCCACTGGGATGGGGGCAACTGGCTGTTGAGCGCCCCAGCACCCAGACAGAGGGCTGGCAGCCAGCAGCGCCTCTGCCCTTGTCAAAGTAGGACAAGAATCCCCTGGGCTAAGAAGGGGAAAGGGACTGACTTGCATTGGGGACACAGTGGACTCTGGGGTGGACTGCAATGGTACCAAGGCCCTCGGGATTAAGAGAAGCTAGTATCCTGATGGAAGCTGCCTTTAGGTTTTCTTTCTCTTCCTTTCCACCTTTATTAAACCTTCATCCAGTGTTGAGATAAAAGTAACATCAATGGTGTCATGGGGGAAATTTGTACCCCAAAGGCATTCAGAAACCAAGAACAATCCTTCAGTGTTTTAGGTGAAAACACTTTATTTAACGAGCAAATTGAAAGAACTAGCAGGAGTCCCCTTCAGCATAAGCCTATATGCAGTTTTCACACATCAGCATTGATGTGGAGTGGTCAGTGCATGCAAAGTCACTGTGTTCTCCACACTGTTTGCACTTCTTCTGGTCAGCAGTCCTTGGGCAAGTATGGCAGCATCCACTGTCGAGTTTGCCAGATGCTCCAGTGGTGGCTGGTTTTCAATGGTAGCCAGGAGACAAGAGTGCTGCTTTGATGGGCATGGTGAGATGATGGGTATAGAAGATTCTTCTCTTTATACGTGCACCTACAAGTTATTCTCCTAGACTGGTAAGGAACAAGGCGTTTTCTTTGTCTTGGTCAAGTGTGGTGCCAAATAAGATTGTCACTGATCCAAACAATGAAATTTGCAATGCCAACAACATCAAGCATGTTGAAGAAAAGAACCATTGACCACTTATTTATCTTGCGCCTGTAGGAGTGCATTCTTGCAAGATGGTCCATGTTAGCAGCACCACTTTTAGTGTCCGTGTAGTGGAAGAACTATTTCTTTTTTGGTCTCCTTCTACAACCTAGTCATGATGCATCGTCGACAGCATTATTATCAACTTGCCCTTCTTTGGAACCTTCTTTGGAACCAGGCTGAGTGGCTCAGCAAACCCAAATCCTAATGACCGTTATTCTCTGCTGTCATGTGGATGCATCTTATTGGGTATAGTCTGGCTTGTTCCATCAGATTGTTCTAACGCAGATCACATTTTTGTTGAGTAGAGCTCCATCAGTATTCAGCTAGCTGAAGAAATTATCCCCATCTATATTTCTTCCAGGCTTATACCAGGGCTGACCCACAAGCTCCTCGTTGTCTGTTCATCAAATTTGTCTTCAATCAATGGAAACAAGGTCTTCCTTTTTTTAGAGCAATTCTCAACGTGATCTGGCACAAAGTCACTATCATATAATATGTTGTCATCACACGGTAACTTTCAGGGTTGCAAATCATTTTGATAAGGTCAGAAGCAGAATACTGTGCTGATGTGTTTGCAATCTTGAATCGTGCAACTCAAGAGTCTCCTGAGTCTGGATTGTTTGGAGCACAATACCTAGACAGAAAATCCCCTGAAGAGTATTATGAAAAGAGAGCCAGCATCAGTCTGCTCTGTGTGGAGGATACCTGACAAGCCTGGATCTGAAGGGACCAACCTCCCTGGTGTACCTTCTATATTAGGATACCTGTATACAGCAACCATTATCACTGCCATTACAATATAAGATACTCTCACTAGAAGCAAATGTGAACTACTAAAAAGAGAGAATAACAGTGCAACACATTTGGGGGTACTTTTGTACCCCACATACCTTTTTTTTTTTTTGATATAGAAAAAAATCTTTTTCATGTTAATTTTCATTTTTCTGAATTGTGGGTCACTAGTTCATGAGTTATCGCAAAATGTATATTTGCGGGGTACAACAGAGCCCTCCTCCACATTCATGGGGGTAACAACTCAGCTCCTAAAGGGGGCACTCTGCAAAGGACAGATTTGTGACAGACCCTCTATCTTTTTATGCACACTAATTGTGTGTGTGTGTGTTGTTTACAGCATTTCCTGTACTGATGGTAAAACCAGTGAATCCCTGTTTAAATTGCCCTTCATCCACTTTCCACTGCCTGAGGAAATTTTGTTAAGTGGGAGTAGGGTGACCAGACTACAAGTGTGAAAAATCGGGACAGGGGGTGAAGGGTAATAAGTGCCTATGTAAGAAAAAGCTCCAAAAATTGGGACTGTCCCTATAAAATCAGGACATCTGGTCACCCTAAGTGGGAGACTCCTGGAGTCTTAAATTCCTCCAAGTAATGCGGAGGACACACATTGTATATTTCAGAGTAACAGCCGTGTTAGTCTGTATTCGCAAAAAGAAAAGGAGGACTTGTGGCACCTTAGAGACTAACCAAGTTATTTGAGCATAAGTTTTCATGAGCTACAGCTCACTTCATCGGATGCATCGGATGAAGTGAGCTGTAGCTCACGAAAGCTCATGCTCAAATAAATTGGTTAGTCTCTGAGGTGCCACAAGTCCTCCTTTTCACATTGTACATTGGAGCCCATGGACACAGAGAGTTTCTCTTGAATACCAAATTCTGAGTTAGTGTTTCCTGTTTGTGATTTATTAAACTAGGAAATAGCCCATACAGTGTTAAAAACACCCCTCTCTCGTTGTTTACTGACATTTTAAACTCAATATTCAGATTTGCGTATGGTTTTAGACAAACCGGCTGAAGCTTCACTGTGAAGCTGAGGAAAGTCCATTCACATGTTTGTGCAGCACCTAGCACAATGGGGCCCTGGCCCAGGAATAGGGTTCCTAGGTGCTACTTTAATGTCCCCAATTAATAACAATGTTAATAATATTAAAATACTTTGCCAGACTTTGGAACCCAGTAGCCCCATCCGAACCCATATGCTTCGCTGAGCGGGGGGAATACCGCAAAACAATGTCTGCAAACACTGGACTGAATTTTTAAACAAACGAGCTTCAGCTGTGTTTGCCCTCCCTCTGTGCTCCCCTCTCACAGCTATGCCAGCAAACACGTTGATTGGCAGGAACGTGCACAGAAATAGCAAACTGTCCGTGAATATCGCACGCTATTTGCAGAGAGCCTCTTTTGGCTTTATAATCCTGAGTACTTTCACTGGGTCCCTGATTCTAACAGCTGCACTCCTCTGCTCAGGGACCAGACATACACTGTAGGGGAGGTGACAGGCGAAAACTTATTCACACAGAGTTGGATTTTCAAAAGCACCTCAGGGTGCTGGACCGTGCAAGACCCATTGACTTGCAGTGGAACTTGTGCTCCTAACTCATTCAGGGGCTCTTGAGAATCTCACCAGAATCTATTTGATGAACCATTGCATATAATGAGTGCGTACAATCAAATCCCTTGGGAATGTGGGAAAAGAAAGTGGTGAAATGTAAATAAATGAGGAAGTATGAGTCAGTGTTTAGCAGAGCTGGGGCGTATCCGAATGCTCCCCGAAGAGCTGAGCTCTGTTAGGAGGCACAATGAGAGCTGCTCTGTCGCTCCGCAGTGCTATGGAATTTATCAGGTCATGTTTTGCCTGTTGCATCATCCATTTCCCCAAGAAAGGCTGCTTCATTGATCATTTCATTCATTGCCCATAGACATGATGACAGACGATGTTGCAGTATTTTTTTCCTGGCAGAAGATTGAGAAGCTGTTTCAGTCTGCCTGATTACTTGGGCGGTCCAAATGCTGCACTGATTTACATTTAACTGCATGACCATGTCACCTTTAACCCTCTCCAGACCCACAGAGTCTCCTAACCCCGCAAGAACTGAATCTGGGATATTGTCTCTTTTAAAATACAGGGCCCTATTATCCACATGAGGATCACACTTCAAATATCCACTTAGCAATGCTGTGGAATACTGTGGAATTCCAGACGCTGGGATAATCCTAACGCACTTTCTGTCGTTTCTTATTTAACTTCGGTCTTAAATTAGAACCACACAAAATGCGTATTTCCAGGTATAAGGAATAATTGCGCGCAGGAAGTTGGCTCCAGCTTTTGCAACTAGAAGAGTTGTAAGCACTTCTGTCTCATAGCGTAGGCTCTTTGGGCTTGGCGAAGCTGTGTTTGACACAGGTCCTGAGGTGGCGGACAAAGGTGGCTATACACCAATTCAGCCCCTGCGATAATTTAAAGCAACACCCCTGTGACGTATAAGGGGACAATCCAGACTAATGAGTAGCTGTGTCCAGAGGTGGATTTGATTTTGTGGGGCCCTGGGCCAGATCAAGTGGGGGGCCCCTCCCCTCTCATCTGCAGTCGTCCGTCCCCCCCTCCACCTCCTCCCTCCCATGCTCCTGAGGGGGAAATGGGGCCAGAGCGCGGGGGCTTTCCCTGCTCTGCCTGCCCAGTGTTCGTGCCGGGGAGCGGAGTTGGGGCGTGGGGTCTTGCCCAGCTCCGCCCGCCTGGTGCTCCTGCCAAGGGTGGAGCTGGGCAAGCACCCGCGCCCTGCCCCTGTTCCCCGGCAGGAGCACCAGGTGGAGCGGGGCAAGGCCCTGCGCCCCAACCCCACTCCCTGGCAGGAGCACCAGGCAGAGTGGGGCAAGCCCCTGTGCCCCGACCCACTCCCCAGCAGGAGCACCAGGCGGGCAGAGTAGGACAAGCCCCTGTGCCCTGAACCCATACCCCGACAGGAAGGCCGGGTGGACGGAGCGGGTCAGGGCACTGAGGCGCCCATTTTTCTCAGGGCTCCCAATTGGCCTGGGATCCTGGGCACAGGCCCCGTTGGCCCAGTGGCTAATCCGCCACTGTCTGTGTCACCTCTGCTCTGTGATCTGGGGTGTCCTTTACAATGCTTTGCTGCTGTAGCCTCCTGCCTGGCCTGCTCACAAACAGCCCCCAGTGTGTAAATCACTCCCAGCTCTGTCTGTGTGTGTGCTGGGGCCAGCCAGCCATGCCTTGGCTCTTACCAGCCTGGGTTATATTGCAGGGTGACCCCAACACACTCCCAGTCTTAGATTTCCCCCAGAAGTGTATGTCTTGTACTGCCCAGCCCTCTCCTGGACAATACAAGTTTATATCAAGTCCGTTATCTCTTTGGTAGAAATAATTTGGATACAATTTGTCACCCTAAATGGAGTTTCCCAAATGCTTCAATTTAAACACACTGGATTAGATAAAACAGTAAAAGAAGTTTATTAATTACAAAGAGATTTTAACTGAGTGCAAGTAATGAGGCATAAAAGTCAGAAATGTTTATAAGAAAAATAAAGATACGCCCTTAGGTATTGTCTTCACGTACAGTGCTATAGCTGCACTGGTCCAGCTCGCCACTGTAGCACTTTAGTGAAGATGCTACTGCCTGGATGGGAGAACTTCTATTGTCTGCATAGTTAATCCCCCTCTCCGAGAGGTCTGTGGTGTAGACCTGGCCTAACTTAACAAACTGTGTTCAATTCAAAGCAACGTTTTCTCACTACATGCTTTCAGCAGTCTTGCTGACCAAACTTCTTAGGTCAGGACCCCCCTCTCCCCAGAATCCAGCGAATGCTTGCTTTGTCTTATTGCTTCAGGTGCCTTGAATACGATGGGCTGGGAGAGAGAAGGGGTGTCGTGCGGGGCTTTGCCCCTCTTTTTATAGTTTCAGTCCCCCTTTTTGAAAACATTTCCAGCTGGGTACCAGGAGACAAAAGGTCTATATGGAAGGATGTTCCCTGCTACTTTTTTCTCACCTGTTTAAGCTTCCTTTATCTTCCTTCCCTGCTTGATGACCCTGCTTAAATGCAAATTAAGAAGATCACCTGGCTTTGTTTGAGACAGACCCTATTTGCCAGCCTCAGTTGGAACGTGTTAACACAATACAGTAGAATCTTATAACTTCACATATAATGTTGCTACACATTTTACCAAGACAATATTGGCGACCAAATTATGAGTTCTCAGATGATATTTCACAAGGTGTACTTTGTACAAAGATGATTACAATCACGTGTAGGGTGTGAACACAGGGGTACATTCTGCCACAACCCCCTCCTCCGGGCAGCCCCCAACACACCCCCTAGGCCAGGGGAAGTGAAGCAGAGCCAGAGGAATCCTTGCTTTGGGGAGCCCTTTGCACTGCTTTGGAACACCAAGGGCTGTAGCATGTGCTAGTGCCTGACCCCTGCTGTGTGCCCAGCAAAGAGGTGTTCTCTGTGCCATGTCCTATACAGCTGTTGGGGAGCTCACACCCTCCCCACCGTGGGAGCTCCAACAGGATTATTAGCTGTCTGATCCGTCCCCAAAGTATGCCCACTTCTCCGCCCCACTCCAAGGACCTTTCTTCAGGGTTCTGCAGGAACCGCACCGGAACTGGCCACCTAGGCCTTATGGTGAGATCCAGAGCGCCTCTCCCAGCCTCTGGCCTTCTCTGCCCATTCCCCTGGCCTCTCCCTGGCTGAGGGTACAGAAAGCTGCCTCTGTATAACTTCCCTTCCCAGCAGGCCTTGCTGTGGCCTGTGGTTCCATATGGCTCTGTTCTAGGCTGGCATCGCTAGTGGCGCTCTGCTAGGCCAGTAGCCTGCCTTAAAGGGCCAGCATGCCCTGTAAAATGGTGAAAAACAACTCAGAACCCTACACTTTTTCCCATTTTAGCTCCAAGTGCTGACTGTTTGCCATGACCCGGTGAGTGCCATGACTAAACAATGCTTTTCTCTTTTCTTGCAGGGTTATGAAGGCTCTCTTATAAAACTCACCTCTAAACAGGTAAAAGCCTGACCAGTGCTCAGAACCTCCAGTATCACAGTCATTAGCTGTAAACGGATTAGAAACACATCTAGTGGCCTCACCGCACACCCAGGTGCAGGATGTTCCCTTGCCCCCACCCTCCCTGCAGGCTAGCCGCTGGCTCTGCTCAATGCAAGGAGCAAAAGACTGTATTTCGTGGGGTGGGGGGGGAGGTAATTTAGGAATGAGCAGCAAGGTAATGAAGTGTCCCCAATGGGGTGTGTACCACGAAGGTAGCACAGTGTTAGGGCCCCAGACCTGTGAGCTCTCTGTGAAGATGCGGCCGAGTCTGCGCTTTCTGTGGACAAGCGGAACCGTGAATCAAATCGAAAACACTCGGGAGTGGCATGACAAGCAGCCCCGTCCTGTTTCATTGCAGCGTCTTTACCCTGTAATGGAAGGTGTGCAGGCCAGCTGGGACGAGCAGCTCAGGGCAGTCAGAACCTGTACTTTTATTAGCATTCCTAGGTGGAATCAAGCCTTCTAGAAAAGAGCTCAAGTTGAGCCTCACGGTTAAGGGATTTTTTTCCTTGCATGCGGGGAAAACTGCCTGGCGTGGGGAGAGTTTTGCTCAGCCCGGCACCCAGCTCGGCGCAGAGAGAGACACTCGGCGCTCAGCCTGGTATCTGGCCCAGCGAGGGGAGAGCTGCTCAGCCCGGCCTGGCACAGGGAAAGCCACTTGGCGCGCAGCCTGGCATCCGGCCCAGCGTGGGGAGAGCCGCCCGGCCCGGCCCGGCACAGGGAGAGCCGCCCGGTCCGGCCCGGCACAGGGAGAGCCGCTGGGCGCTCAGCCTGGCGTCTGGCCCGGTGTGGAGAGCCGCCTTGTGGCTCAGCCCGTTCTTCAGTTCTTTCCCCCTACATGTAGCACCAGCCCCAGCAGCAGCATCCTCTGGGCAGAGAACATAGTTCTGTGCCACAGCTCCTCTGGGATTACCCAAAGGGAAAACGGAGGGGAGAAAGGATGCAGGGGTAACCTGGAGACTCCAGACACATCTTCTCCCCCAAGCACCTGGAAGAGAGCAGGAGTCCTGTGGTTGCCCCCGAACACAGGTTTCCTGCTCAGTCACAGCACAGCCCTTCTAGGCCTTGCCTAAGGGCTCGGAGTCCCCATCCAGCATGTGTCTGCCCACACTAGAGCTAGATGAAGGATGGAGGGAGGGTCCCTGAAGGCTCCACTTTAAGAACATAGTTGCAGCCAACTGGGGAAGCCAATGCGGTTTCAGGTACGCTGTACTAGGCCTATGGGTACCCAGTGCACCGCATGTCTCCCAACACTCATCCCAGCCCTTGTACACTTAGACCTTCCACTGGAAGGAGGGGAGGGCAGCAGAGCCAGTGAGTTTATAGCAGAGGTGGCCAAAGTGAAGCCCATTGAGCAGACATGGCCCTTGGAGATCTGCAGGATGGCTCTCAGCTCTGAAACAGGGAGATGGCTGTTGGGGACTGCAGGTCCCAAGTACCCTTGGTGGGTAGTAGTGAGCAGGGTCCCTGTATCTGTGAGGCGACGGTGCTGCTCCTTCCCTGAGTCATCCCCTGACCCTCTCCTCTTCTCTTTTCTCCTCAGCCTGTAGGGTTTGTCAGCTTTGACAGTCGCTCAGAAGCAGAAGCTGCTAAGAATGCGCTGAATGTAAGTACCTGATGCTATAAGCCACAGTTCCCTTTGGCTGTGTGTGGAGGAGGGCTGGGGGGAAGCATGAGCAAGGGAATGAACGGCAGCTGTGCATACCTTCTATACATACATGGGGTGAGATATCACCTTGACAGCAGACTAGTGGCTAAGCCCTCTGAAAGCTGCTCCTGAGTTGAGCATACAAAACATGGAATTCCTCCTGTACGATGCACAGAGATGCTGTAGCCAACATTTAGCAGAGTGCAGATATTAATTGCATTCTCTTCTTCCATTTTATATCTGTATCCAAAATAGCAAAGAGACTGACTGTACACAGGTTTGTTCTTCATAAACATACTGCTTATTGCCCATGTTTTCATTTTCCTCTGGTGCGAAGTGTTACAGATTTATATTCTTTTCCCAGGGATGTTAGTTAGATTTACTGATTCACATGGGGTTTGGGTGCTGGAGAAGATCAACATTTTTTCTCCTGTCCTTTTCTACTTCCCCCAGTTCTCCAGGACTTTCCCCAAATGATTGCCAGTAGTTCTCTAAATGCCTTCCACGTGGGATGTATATCTTCTGCACCTGCTGGTTTGTAAATATCCCGTTTTCCCAAGTGTTTCCTGCTCTGCTGTTCATCAGCTGCTAAATGGACATTCCTCACGACTTCTTGAGTGTCCATCTCTCTTTCCCATTTTTATACTAGCCTCCCTTTGCTGGCCACATTCCTCACTTTATTGGCATACGCTCGAATCAGTCTCTTTTCAGAAAGACAAGGGCTTCTGCAATCTTCTCAGTTTTCTGCAAATCAGGGGGCAACTTGCAAGGAGACCCTTGAAACCAGAAGCTCAAAGTCTGAGCACCCTACTTCAGAGAGATGAATCAGATTTACTCCAGGAATGTCGCAGTTTGATCAAGGTCCAGCTCTTTCAAACAATGGCTACAATCAACACTAAGCCCCGTGAGTTGAATTTGTACTCGCAGAGTTCTCAGGAGTACACTTTGTCTGCTGACTCAAGGAACTCACCTGAGAGACATAGCAATGCTACGACAGAGACCTACCAAATCGGATCCTCGGCTGCTATAAATCAGAGCAGCTCCATTGAAGCCAATTTCCACCAGCTGAGGATTTGACCCCACATACGGTTTCTTACGGGTGGGGCTAGTTGTGATGTCTGAACTTAATGTTGCCTAACATTTTCCATCATAATACTTTATTTTTAGTTCGGTTTGAAATTATTTTCGTTTGCTCTCTGACCCTGATGAATTCTTTTTCGTTAAGTCCCTGCGAAAATGATTCAGCCAGTTCTGAGAATGTGGGTGTTTCTGAAAACAACATGCTTCGTAGTAGGAACTTGACATTTGTCACGGGATAGTCCTGGGGTCAGGAACGTGCCTTTTGCGCTCTTGCTCCTGTGTAACTCTCTCCAGACCTGGTCAGATGATAAGACTCTGAAAACAGCCATTTGCACATGTTTAGCTGAGCTTTTTGAAGGCTTGATGCAAAGAGCTCCAAGCATGCCAACTGCACTGAGCCCCACACAGCCTTCTGGGTGCTAGGCTCTGAACTAAAGGGCCACACAGCCACAGCAGCAGCACCCACTCCCCATGCCCAGCAGACCTCCTCCTGATTGATGTTAATAATTTGTGCACTTCATAGCCCTCATGATAGCGCAAGACCTCGCTCCCCGTATTCCGAGCTGGGTAAATATTCCCCCTCATTTTATGGAGGGGGTAACTGAGTGTTTGCACAAGGTCACGACTAGCACAGCTAGGAATGCCTATAATAGAGCAGACTCAAGTCTCATCCATGCAGACGTACTGCCTTTCAGAATGAATGTGCCAGATCTATGTGCTTGGCTATGCTGTCTTTGTGACCTCCTGTACCACACATGCCTCCAGAACCAGGAACAAAACTGAGGCATCCTGGTGCCAAAGTTTTATGTATTCTATGCTGTATAGAAAATAGTTGTACAAGGTACTGACTGCCTTGTGTCCCCTTTTAGTGCTTGGTCTATGTAGAAGAAAACAGCTCACAGTTCCCACAAGTTCGTCCTTTATCTCAAGTGGTAGCGGTTTGTGCTATGGATCTAAAGGTCCTGGCTTCCAGTCCTGCTGGTAAATCATGGGGGTGGGGAGCCCATGGGTCGATATGGTTCCAAAAAACCTAAATAATCACATACCCAAAGACTACATTAAAACTGCAAGATCAAGCACTCAAATGTTAGGGAATTCAGATTGCCTGAGCAACCTTTATCAGTACTGTAGTGCATATGCGTGGTAATACTATCTGTAATTACACAAGCGCGTAGAATTTTTACTGTAAGATCCCTGCTTCATTTAGTGCCTAGGATGGGGAGTGAATGAGGCAAAACATAAGAAGAGGGACAATATTTTCTTCTACTTAAGGCATGGACTGGGGCCTAAGGGAGTTGGGTTCTATTTCTGGCTCTGAGTGTCACAGACTTCCTCTCTGGCGTTAGACAAGACTGCACCAAAATGCACATGCACAAGGGGACCGGATTAAGGTTACCCTGGAATACTTGTGTAGACAGCTGCACATTTGTGTTACAAGTGCTCCTTTCTCCCCCCTACGTGAAGGGTGTTGTGGAGGAGGGAAATTCAAAGCCAAATGCTGTATTAGGCTTTGTTAGTTTGTTAGACCTGGCTGACACAGTCCCAGCTGTGGGTTTTGGCTGGCAGGGAAGAGAGAGGCACAGTGCTGTCATATGAGATCGTGTTTGTAATCTGGAGTTAATCTGTTAAATCTGATCGTAAAGGGACCCTGGAGGCTCTGGTCTGCACCACCGACTGGGCTGTTAAAAGTCCGGTCAGCGGCACACTCGGGGCCCAGGGCTAAGGCAGGCTCCCTGCCTGCCCTAGCTCTGCGTGGCTCCCAGAAGCAGCCACCAGGTCCCTACAGCCCCTAGATGCATGGGTGGCCAGGGAGGCTCCACGCGCTGCCCCCACCCCAAGGGCCGGCTCCGCAGCTCCCATTGTCCAGGAACCGCGACCAATGGGAGCTGCAGGGGCGGCATTTGTGGGCGCGGGGGCAGAGTGAAGAGCCTCCCTGGTGCCCATGCATCTAGGGGCTGCAGGGACCTGGTGGCCGCTTCCTGGGAGCCGCAGTAAGCACCACTGGGACCCCTCCCGCACCCCAACCCCCGCCCCAGCCCGGAGTTTCCTCCTGCACCCAAACTCCCTCCCAGAGCCCACATCATCAGCCTATTTTCAAAACATTAATAGAAAACTGTGGATCTAAACAGTGATTACAGCAGAGCAGAGGAGCTGTTTTCATTCTACCCCGGTGTCACTTGCTCTAACTTTCTGAAGCTTTCATTTTGGGAGCTGAAATTTTCCATGCTTGGAAATCTTCTATGCATTTTTGGCCAAAAAAATGAAGATTCAGGTCAACCAAAACATTTACTGAATTGAGGTTATATTTGCCAAACTGTTTCAGACCACCTTCCCTTCTAGGGTGACCAGATGTCCCGATTTTATAGGGACAGTCCCGATTTTTGGGTCTTTTTCTTATATAGGCTCCTATTACCCCCCACCCCCATCCCGATTTTTCACATTTGCTGTCTGGTCACCCTATTCCCTTCCCTCTCCTTCCCCCCCACCCCCAAAACTGTTTCTACATTTTCTAAAGAAACATTTAGGTTTTTTGATTCAAGATGCCCCATTTCTTTTGAATTTTACTACAATTTTTTTTTTAAAAAAAAAAAGGTTAAAAATTCCTCCCAAAACAAGATGTTTCGTTTTGGTTCGAACAAATGGAATAAAAAAGATTTCAGGTTGGGTTCTCCGGAAACTTTTTTGTTTTTCTTTTCAGTTTGGCCCCTGACCTGAAAAGTCGGTTATTCACGTAGTCGGTTATTCACATTGCTCTGTTCGACTGAGTCCCTGGGGAGCTCCCTCAGTGCTCACCTCAGGCCCAGCATGCTGTGTATGCTCGGCTAAGCCGGCTTTGCCATGAGCTGACTCGTGCTAGGGTCGGGGCTGAGCTAATGGCTCCTGTAGTCTGGAGGTGTGTAGGTGACAGCCTGGCCTAAGCAGTGTGCAGCTTGTGAGGGTGTCACTGTGCCATTGGTTCAGCACACACACCTTGTGAGGTTTGCGGAGGGGCTGAATGAAGGGGTCTGGGCTCTGTGCGTGGGAGAGGGGAGAACCCAGTGATGAGCTGCCAAAATCTTAACAACCGGTTCCCTCCTCACCCCATGAGGGGGTCGTGGCCCACTCCTGCCCAATCCAACCCCCCACGTTCCTTGATGCTCCCCCCGGGACCCCTGCCCCGTCTCTCCCCCTCCCCTCTCCCCTGACTGCCCCCAGAACCGTGCAGGAGGTTCTCGTGGGCCACTGTAGTGGGTGCCCATCCCGCCCCTAAGAGCCAGAGGGACCTGCTGGGGCGAGGTGGGGAGTCCCGGCACGGCTTACCTGGGGCAGCTCCCAGGAAGCATCCGGCAGGTCCCTCTGGCTCCTAGGGGCGGGGGAGCGTAGCTAGGGGGGAGCAGCAGGAGCAGCCGCTCCCCCCACTGATCACATCAAAAGTGGCGCCTTAGGTACCGACTCCGTGGGTGCTCTGGGGCTGGATCCCCCACAGGGAAAATTTGGTGGGTGCAGAGCACCCACCGGCAGCTCCCCACCCCATGCCTGGCCCCAGCTCCCCTCCGCTCTGCCTCTACCTCCCTGGGCCTGAGCGCGAAGCCGCTGCCTGCTTCTCAGCTCTCCCCGGCTTCCCACATGAACAGCTGTTTGCGTGGGAAGCCGGGGTTTGGGGGGGAGAAGCAGAGCAAGGTGGCACGTTCAGGGGAGGAGGCAGAGGCGGAGCGGAGGGGAGCTGGAGCCGGGTGCAGGGTAGGGAGCTGCCGGTGGGTGCTCTGCACCCACCAAATTTTCCCCGTGGGTGCTCCAGCCCTGGAGCACCCACGGAGTAGGTGCCTAAGGCGCCACTTTTGGCTGATTAAATTTAGAAACCCTTTTAGAACCAGTTGTCCCTCGCGGAACAACCGGTT